GAAGAAAGGCTACCTCTCCCAGGGGAGGCCAACGTGTGCTTAATGAGGAGCTGTCCCTTAGATCATTTTCGAAAGTCAAATTTCTGAAGCAAATACTAGTAGGAAATGAGGCCAGAAAGATAAAGGGGTGCAGATCCTTTAGGGCCTTATAAACCATCGTAATGGTCAGAGCAATTTGTCGGCTGGCCCCTAAGGAGCCAGAAGGGATCGATGACCATGCCGAGGTCCCTATCAGTTGTGAGTACCTCTGTGTACTGTAAATGGCCCTATTGAACGGGAGAGAGTTATTCTCAGACTAGGTTTTCATGCTTGATTTGGAATTGGGTCTGAGATACGGTTTCTTATCCTCAGCCTTCTGACATTTTGGCTAGATAATATTTTAAGGATTATTTATTTAATTTTATTTGTCTATTTGAAGGCCTGAGGGCTGCCCTATTCATTGCAGAATATTTAGCAGCGTCTCTGGCCTCTACCCACTAGATGTCAGTAGCATAGCCTCCTTTTCCCCAGATGTGGCAACCAAAAATGTCTCCAGACCTTGGCAAATGCTCCTCTCCCCGACTGAGAAACACTGGTCTAAAGAAAAGCACACTTTGTCCTTGTGTTGGGAGCTAATCTCAGGTCCCTATCGTCTCCACTTCCCCCAAGCATCAGTCCCTTCCCCGACTCACAATGGCTGTTCTGAAAGGGAGCCTGTTCTGAAAAGGGAACCTGGGGTTATCTATTGTACTGAAGACTCACAAGCAAACATTGATTCTAGGTTCATTAGCCATTAACTCATCTACACAGCAGGTAGCTAGTCAGGGAACACTGCTTATTCGAATATGACATTGGATCTCACTGGTTTATCCCAGAACCTACATGAGAGCCACAAAATAGTCCTAGGTCTTGAGATGGATGATTTGGTTCTTGTCATTCCTCTTTTACCAGCGGCCAGAAGATTACTGGGATCCTGATCTACAAAGGACCCCACTTCTCAACCCAAACATGACCAAAGCAAGGCCGAAGATTTTTCAACTATGCTATTATAATGGCTAATATATTGAGCATTTCTTTTTTTTTTTTTTGGACAGGTTTTTTTTTTTTTTTTTTTGTTATAGGGCGCGTGCGCTCGCCAGACAGAGAAAGACAGAGAGACAGAAAGCGAGAAATCACC